ATTATAAAACTTCTGTACCTGGTTTACTATGACCCATATTGTAACATAATGATATGTTGAACTTTGCCAAAATATCACAGAAATTAATACATAGATAATGATCTCTGTAATTTGTAAAGCACCTGATACATATTCAAAGAGACCACCATGTGGTATCTTATATGCTGTAGATGTGATTTCACCAGTTTTATCTTTCCGTAAGCCACTAAGAATACAATTTGCTCTAAATTGAGCATATGATGACAATAAGATAATACATGCACATATCATATGAGTATAAGTTATATTTTTCCAGGAGAAATTGTTTTGTGAACCTATAGTAAATAATTTAAAAATATAAAAGTGCAAGTAAATTTAATTTAATAATCGCGAACCATTTAAATGCAAGCAACTTTTTATTTACCTTCAACAAATCCTTCAGATTCACCTATAATACATACTAAAGTACCAAAATAATGATAGAATCCCATTGTGTAATGAAACATATTTATCTTTTTATCACTGAAAATGCTTATATAGTGTGATTCATAAAATCTTTTCCAGCAATGAATAGTCAAAACCAAGGCAACTACAAATGTACTTTCTGGAGACACTAAAAAAATATAAATTCAAAAATGAACACTGAAATATAAATGTTAAACTTTTAACAACTTTCATACATTCGACTTACCTAATGCTCGTCTATTTGTTCCTAGAAACATATTTAACATCCATATGACGTTTTCAGGTATATCACCATTCCACAGATATTTATGAAGTACCAGATAAAATACATAACTTGAGAAAGGTGAAGCAAACACATAAAAATGTTTAAACCATCTGAAATATTATTTTTATTATTATTAATACTATTAAATTAATGTTTTTATTCTTTTCTTACTTACCTTTTAGGTATTTCTATTTTCATTACATGTGGCTGATATGTATTATCAGAAAATTTACCATANATTATAAAACTTCTGTACCTGGTTTACTATGACCCATATTGTAACATAATGATATGTTGAACTTTGCCAAAATATCACAGAAATTAATACATAGATAATGATCTCTGTAATTTGTAAAGCACCTGATACATATTCAAAGAGACCACCATGTGGTATCTTATATGCTGTAGATGTGATTTCACCAGTTTTATCTTTCCGTAAGCCACTAAGAATACAATTTGCTCTAAATTGAGCATATGATGACAATAAGATAATACATGCACATATCATATGNATTATAAAACTTCTGTACCTGGTTTACTATGACCCATATTGTAACATAATGATATGTTGAACTTTGCCAAAATATCACAGAAATTAATACATAGATAATGATCTCTGTAATTTGTAAAGCACCTGATACATATTCAAAGAGACCACCATGTGGTATCTTATATGCTGTAGATGTGATTTCACCAGTTTTATCTTTCCGTAAGCCACTAAGAATACAATTTGCTCTAAATTGAGCATATGATGACAATAAGATAATACATGCACATATCATATGAGTATAAGTTATATTTTTCCAGGAGAAATTGTTTTGTGAACCTATAGTAAATAATTTAAAAATATAAAAGTGCAAGTAAATTTAATTTAATAATCGCGAACCATTTAAATGCAAGCAACTTTTTATTTACCTTCAACAAATCCTTCAGATTCACCTATAATACATACTAAAGTACCAAAATAATGATAGAATCCCATTGTGTAATGAAACATATTTATCTTTTTATCACTGAAAATGCTTATATAGTGTGATTCATAAAATCTTTTCCAGCAATGAATAGTCAAAACCAAGGCAACTACAAATGTACTTTCTGGAGACACTAAAAAAATATAAATTCAAAAATGAACACTGAAATATAAATGTTAAACTTTTAACAACTTTCATACATTCGACTTACCTAATGCTCGTCTATTTGTTCCTAGAAACATATTTAACATCCATATGACGTTTTCAGGTATATCACCATTCCACAGATATTTATGAAGTACCAGATAAAATACATAACTTGAGAAAGGTGAAGCAAACACATAAAAATGTTTAAACCATCTGAAATATTATTTTTATTATTATTAATACTATTAAATTAATGTTTTTATTCTTTTCTTACTTACCTTTTAGGTATTTCTATTTTCATTACATGTGGCTGATATGTATTATCAGAAAATTTACCATAACGATATGAACGCGTTATTAAAACAGGTAAATAAGACTCTATATAGGTAATTAATAAGCCAACAATACCAAGGGACAATGTAGCAAGAAGAAATGCAATAGATATTAAGTTGACTTGCATTTTGTATTGAACTAGGCTTCAGACATAAATAGATGAGTTAAACCTTATTTATAATTTTCTTTTAAAGTTTAGGTGTATCACTTTCATATAAATCAGGTTACTGTAACACAATTGAGAAAAATATATATATAATTAAATAATATATAATAGAACTACTTGTTATTTTACTCTCTATACTTTATTATTATTACTATTATTTATTATATACATTATATTATATACATATATATTATTTAACCGTTTGAGTCCCAGAGGTCATTGGAAAAATGCCGAATAGCGCTATAACGTTTTAATGTCTCTTGTACTGACGTAATTTCAGTGTGTTATCACTGACGCCGTGACATTGCTACGGTCCTGCAATCTATTGATTTTCACTTTATCCTGATGCTAAGATTCAACGAAGTCGGTGAATACGTGTGCTGCGGCACGCGCTGCGGCTCCTTTAACTTGAATTTCCGAAAGAGAAATCATAATATAATGGACATAACTTTTTTTAATTTTAACATTTTAAAACTGATTTTCTTAAACATATTGCTGATAGTTTCCTTTATTACAATGAGACCAAACATTATATAGTTTGGACAAATATTTCTGATTAAAATGAAATCAAACACGATATCATTTCGATCACATTTATTTACTTAATACTTACAGTAAAATCTCGCTGATTGTCGCCGTGTCTGAATTGTAAGTAGCCAGTCCTAGAATTGAAGTCGTTGTACTTTGAGTCTCGCGGCTCGCCTTTATAATTGCCGACATCTCGTGAGAGAGAGAAAGAGAGACCTGGAAAGGCAACGGCCAACATCGGCGGCAGCTAGATTAAAAACGATGACCTTTTTATTTCTAATTTTTTATACATGAAAATTATTTTAACATATTGATCACATTTCTCCAATAAAAATGATACCAAACACGACATGCTTTAGATGATACTTATTCATTATACGTAGCAAGTAACTTATTTTATTTGCGAAAAAAGGTATTAGAAAACCGATTCTAAACATATGAAATATTAAAGGGAACGTCAAAGAAGGTATATATGTCGTTCGAAAGAAAATATCAGAGGAGTTATGCTATTCGAGCCTATGTTCGACGACGGTAAGAAGAAGACAATGATTGAGTTAGATGACGGTAGAAAGATTCCATGACTGAGTTACATAATGGCAGGAAAAGGTCTGAAAGGCTGAGTAAGATGACTGCAGGAAGAAGTCACGGCTCGGTTCGACTACAGTCTGAGGACGAGCCTCCGCGCGGAGGGTGTGAAGGTACGATTTCCTGTACTTTTTTCATCAATCTTATTTTAAGGGGTCGAACATCGAGGAAGAACGACACTGTTTAGATACAAGGTCCTCGAAACTCAGCGCCGATAGCGCAACAATTGGGTTTCAGATGTGGCGACGAAGGACAAGGCCTTAAAATAAGATTGATGAAAAAAGTACAGGAAATCGTATCTTCACACCCTCCGCGCGGAGGCTCGTCCTCAGACTGTAGTCGAACCGAGCCATGACTTCTTCCTGCAGTCATCTAACTTAGCCATGGCCTCTTCCTGCCGGCATATAACTCAGCCATGTACTACTCCTACCGTCATCGAACGTAAGCTGAAATAGCATAACTTCTTTGACATTTTCTTTCGAACGACATATATACTTCTTTGACATTGCTTTTAATATTTCATATGTTAAGAATCGGTTTTTCTAATACTTTTTTTCACAAACACATAATGAATAAGTATGGTCTAAAGCATGTCGTGTTTAGTATCATTTTAATTGGAAAAATGTGATCGATGCATCAAAATAATTTTCATGTATAAAAGATTAAAAATAAAAAAGTTAAGTCATCGTTTTTATTCTAGCATTACCAGTATTTTCAGGTAGTTTCGTTCTCTCTCTTTCTCTCTCTCTCTCTCTCTCTCTCTCTCTCTCTCGCTCTCTCTCTCACGAGGTGTCGGCAACTATAAAGGCGAGCCGCGGTGCTCGAAGAACGACGACTTCTATTCTACGACTAACTGCTTACAATTCGGACCCGGCTATATGTAATCGGAAAGGTCTTATCGTACGTATATTATTTAACCACTTTTTTTTTAAACACGGTCGAACAATGCCGAACACTGCGATAACGCTTATTTTAATATGTGTACTATTAGTTTATAAATATTTCAAGTTTTGTTCAATAAAAATTATTGAGAAGAAAACAATGAAATACAAAATGTGTTAGTTGTAATTTAATTGTAAATTATTCAAATTTTCCTTATAACTACCGTTACGAGTAAAATACTTTTTTGAAACTCGAAAGACATTTTTTTCTGGCAAACTATCGAACAGAGCATTACACATAAAAATTGGTATAAGTCCAGATTTGCCTATCTTGTTCTGCTAAGTTCTTAACACTAAACCTACCAAGCAATACTAACTGGCATGTACTGCTTCACAAAAGTGAGAAGACCGAATTTATTTAGAATTTGTGAAGTTTTTATCATAAAACTTGCTCCAATAATATAACTTATTCAAGCGTTTTCCATGAAAGAGTCTCGGAACTTTGCAGAATTGCAAGATAAGAAAGCAGTCACTTTGCCGCGGTAGGTTTAGTGTCAATAGCTTCATTTGCTATTACTATACTATTCAATATGAAAAATAATCGTCGAAAGTGTTGAGAAATTGATGCAATGTAAACAGAAATTATTCCTTTTTTACAATCTACAGAATATTACAATTTTAAACAGAAAATGCAAATCGTGTAATAATAACACATTACTGTCAAGATCCAATTTTTTCAACTCTTTTTATCTATTTTTAAATACATGTTTACATAAACTTCCACAGTCATTAGTAATGTTAAAAAGTAATATTAAAAACAGTATACATATTCGTAACTTATAAAGTTTATTCGTTTCATAAATATATTCATAGTACAAAATTAAGTGGTAATAATTAAGTAATTTTTATCACATGATAAACGGACGGATTTCGTTAAGCTAAATTGAACGATTTCACTTTAAGATCATCGCAACAGTTAGCATTTTCAAATTA